GGAGCTGGCTGGGCACACAGGGACCCTGGTGCCAGCAGCCCCATGTGCACCCCTGGGGTCCCACCACGGGCAGCACCTCCTCTCTCCACCCCAACAGGGCCAGGTCCACTCACTCCTTCCACACCTCTAATTCAGGAAGAGCCAAAAAGCCCCATGGAGGCACTTCCATCCCATCCCATCAGAGCTCAGCTCTCAGGACCAATTCCTTCTCCTGGCTGAACTCCCACCATTCCTGCTGGTCCCCATTTGTCATGGGTTGGAGCGGTTTGCCCCAAAGGCCCCTCCAGGTGCAACGGGACTGGGAAGGGCTCGAGCAGCGTCACAGCCCCTTGCCCACCCTGCAGGGATGTAGGGAAACACCTCGCCAGGGCGTGGCAGACTGGGGAATTACTCACAGCCTGCTCTCGGCTATTTTGGGAACTCCCTGAACACGTCCCGTTTTCTTTGGCAGCTAAAAACGTTACAGGGGAAGGAAAAAAGTCTCTCTTAGCAAAGCTCCATCCCTGGGCGGGGGAAAATAAAAAAAAAGAGCTCCATCACCTGCCTTTTGCATGCGGAGAAATGCCAGTGCTGATGCAGGGCAGGAGCCCTGCTGTCACACAGCCCCTGGCCAAGGATATGGGCATGGATGAGGAGGCAGCTGCCCCATCCAGCCCCACCGATCCCCCTGGGATGCAGCACAGCGTGTCCCAAGGATGGTACAAAGCTGCTGCCACCACGAGCCTCTGCCTCGAGCCCTGGGGATGGAGCAGCACCACGAGGGATGGACAAAATCAGCAGCGACAGGGACACTGCTGTCGGCATTGCAAGAGAACAGGAGGGGAAAAATGTGTGGAAAAGGGATTTGGCTGAAACAGGCACTCAGCTGAAAGGGCTCCCTGGAGGAGGGATGGGAGGAAGAATACACCGAGGCTCTTTCTGGCTTCTACACTAAGAAAACAGCAATACTTTTTCTTTTTCCAGGTGGTATGGGAGCTCAGAGGCATAAATCTCCCTTCCTGGGATCCTTGCTGCTCCCCTCGCTGAGTGCCATCATCCCGAAGGGATGAGCTCAGCTGCCGTGCCAGGGACAGAAACCTTTGCCAGACACGGGAAGGAGAGAGGGCTGCGAGGGCCTTGGCTGCTCTCTGAAGCGGGTGAGGTTTTATTTCCCCACAGCCCCTTTGCAGCCAGTTCCCCGCTGGCTGAGTCCTGCTCCCGCTCCGCAGCCCCTTCCCCAGCTGGGAAGAGCATCAGAGGAGCTGTGGTTACATCCCCCCAGTCCCTCCCACAACCCAGGGTCTCTCGAGGGAGGAAAATGGGAATTTTCCGAAGGCCAGACAGGGCGGGATTGGGAGCTGGATCATCTCCGTTATCTCCCCGGCCAGTCCAAGCAGTTCGGAAACATCCTCGGAGGAGATAACCAAGCCTTGGCAGAGCCGAGTGCCGGGGGCTCCTCCCAGTCCCGGGAGGAAGCCACACAGCAGAGGAGCTGGAGTTTGGGTTTTTACGAGCCTGGAGGGGTGGCGGGAGGAGGGTTTGCACCCAGTGAGGATCCTGCTGGGAGATGCGAGCCCCGGAAACTCTCCCCTGGATTCCTGCACCACCAAGACCCCAATTCCGACCCCCGGGAGCTGCTCTGCTCCCTGCGGCAGCTGAAGGTGTCACCCCCCGTGCTCCTGCCAGCCAGGTTGGGGACACCCGTCCTCAGACCCCAGTGCTGGTGGAGAGTGCCCCATGAGCCAGCCTGGCCCTGAGGGGACACCCCCGTCCCACGGCAGACGAGGGTGGCTCTGACCCTCCTCTTCCTCGCCCCGAGCAAAGCGGGAAGCAGCTGATCCCGAGGAGGAGAGGACAAATTGCGACAGCTCTGCGTCTGCCGGCACCAACCCCGACGGGACCCCCACAGGGGGACTCTTTCCACACACACCCCCCCCCCCGCCCCCAGAGCTGTCAGACCCCAGAAAACAGAAAAAAAAAAAAAACAACCCTCAAACTTGCTGAAAAAGCCGGGGTAAAACCCCCAAACACCCGAAACGCAGCGACAGCGAAAGTCGCCGGGGGCGAGCGGCTGCCTGCACCCCCCTGCCCCAGCCCGGGAGTCCCCCCGAACCCTGGAGCAGGGTGTGAGCGCCAGCAGTGGTGACAGGGACAGCCCCAGGTCCTGGCAGGGTGGCAGAGCTGCCTGCCCGTCCTTACCTTGCCGGGCAGCGCGGGCTGGGCTCGGTTCCTGGACGGCGGGGCTCGTTCATGGACTCTGGGCAGTCGACACGAACGGAGCCCGGAGCGAGCGGCGGGAGCTGTGCCTGCCCCGCCGAGGCTGCCTGACTTCCCTTTTCCTCTCCGAGAAATGCAACCACTTCCTTACGTGGGCGTTGGGGGAGCGCAGAGCAGCTCAGCGGCCGCCCTGCCCCTGTGCCTGCGGGCCAGGCCGCTCCGGCACCGCCGCACGTGGACGGAACCCGGCCCCGGGATGCTCTCGGTGGGGCGTGGGCAACTCGCCCTGGGTGCTCCAGGGAAGGACAGAGCCAGGAGAACAGAAGGGAAGGATCCCCGCCGTCTCCCTGCCTCTGTTCACCCCCGGCCCCCGATGCGTTTTGGAGGGATGGGGACTCTCCGATGCCTGTGCTGGCCCCCACCAGGGAACAGCCGTGCCTGGAGCCCACGAGGGGCGAGACGCCCGTCGGCATCGCCTCCCACGGCCGGGGAGATCCGCAGGACCCCGCGGAGCCTGGATCCGGTCGCCCTCGGCAGCAGCTGCTGCTCGTTCCTGCATCCCACAGAGCCCAGTGGGACCCGGTCCCAGGCTGGCTGCGGGCACCGTGCCTGTATCCCCACGCACCAGACATCCAGATCTCTGGTTTTATCACCTCCTGCTTCAGAGCAAATAATTTTTATCCCATCCCCGCCTGGATGCACTCATCCCTTCCCCCTCTGAGTGATGTCGCAGCAGTGGGACAGCAGCACGCTGGGGTCCCGTGCAGCCAGGGCAGGATCTCTTCTCAGCTGCAGGATTTGGATACAATAACCTGGAATTTCAGGGATACAATAACCTGGAACTGGCTGAGCTGCAGAATCGATCCCCAAGGGAGGGGTCAGCTGTAGGAAAGGGGGGCACAGAGCAGGCAGCCCCTCACCCCTCATCCTCATCCATAGCTGGGCTTCATTCCATGTGTGTTGTCATGAGCCCTGCAGAGATCCCGAGCAGAGATCCCGAGGTGTCTCCCAGGCAGAGATGGGATTGAACTGTGGGTCAGTTTTAACTTCTGCAGGAGGATTTGGGGTACATCACTAAGGGAAGGGAGGGGACAGTGTGACGCCTGTTCCTCGCCTGCCATGCCCTTTCCTCCTTGCTCCCATCTCCAGGCTGCTCCTGCTTGGGCCTGTGCTAACGAGTGCCATGAGCTGCCCCCACTGCTTGTGACCCCTGCTTGGGGCTCTCCAAGGCTCCATGGGGGGAAAATCTGGCACTGTGGAAGTCAGGGATGGAGGCTCTGCCCTGCTGGGCCTCTGCCATACCCAGTTAATGTTTGCCCAAACCCTTTATCTGCTTTCTCTTCTGTTTTTGAAGTGGGAAGATCCTCCTGCCCCCACAGCACGTCACATCCTCAAAAAGGTTGTAGAGGAACTGTCCCACTGCACAGACACTGGGGACACTTCTGGTGGGGTTTTCTCTGGGGTTGGGGCAGTGCAATGATGAGCAGCAGTGATTGTTTTTGGGGGGAGTTGCAGGCAGGCTCCAGTGAGTATTCCCTGCTCCCCAGCCATCCATCCCAGCCATGCTACCCCCCTGATCCCCTGACTGCAAGAAATGAAACATTATTGTATGTTTAGAAGGGAAATTGCAAAGCCAAGCCTGACTGCCAGGGGAGAAGGTGGGAGACACAAGGAAAACAGAGAAAGATCCAGCTCTGTGATGGAGAACAGTGGCTGCCACTCAGAGCTCATCTTCCACCCTCCCCTTTCACCCCCACCCAGCTGAGAAACGAACAGGGTATGAAACAACTCAGGTTCCAGAGGAAGTGGTAAATTTAGTCATTGAGGTTTTTTTAAAGACACTTCTGCATTTTCTGCAGAAATGACCATTTTAAGTTTTGCAAAGCAATGCCATGAGCCAGCTAATCCCCTCGGAGCACAGCACTGCAGCAGCACAGGGAGGAGGAGCTACACCCTGTGAATAAATTGTGTGCAAATGCCTCCATGAAGCTCCTGAGGCTGGAGCTGAACTGCAAAAGGTACCTGGGGACAAAGGATCAGAACAGAAGCCAGACCACGCTGACACCTCTGGCTGGAGCCTCATTTGCCCACCAGTTGTTATAAACACAGGATTTTACAGGTTGAGAGCTCAGCTCTAAAGGACACAGAACCCCAGAACCACTGAGGGAGGAAAAAAACCTCCAAGTTCATCAAGTCCAACCTGTGACCAATCCCCACCTTGCCAACCAGCTCAGAGCACTGAGTGCCATATCCAGCTGTTCCTTGAACACCTCCAGGGGTGGTGATTCCCCAGCCTTGAAGTTTCATGGACTTACAAAGCGATTTGCTTTTAATCTGTCTTTCCCAGACAAGGCTCAGCAGATTTTTGTCTCACCTTCCACACAGAGCTTTCCATCCTGTCCCCTGGGCACAGGGGAGCAGCCTTGGGACCAGTCCCAAAGGCAACTACAAATAATTCTGGTCACTCACCTTTGGAAAAATGTAACCCACTGAGCAGACAACAAAAAAAGACATTCAGGTTAATTTGCTGTTGTTATGAATTAAATTCAAGGCACACAGAATGAAGTAGGATAAAATCATTCATCCTCCAAAATCATCACCTCAAGGGAAGAATTCCCCTGGTAAGCTCATCTGAATCTTCACATCCAGATCATCAGAACTCCAGGTCTGTCAACTTTAGAACCTTTCAGTTAAGATGAACCTCTCCTATTTTAAGGCCATAAAGTATCAGTGCAGGGTTTTCCCCACTCTCTCCCAATTTCCTTAACAGCCCTTTTTTAATCAATAAGCATCAAAACAAATAATCAGTTTTTCTCTTTTTTATTATTATTATTATTTCTAGCAGACAATTTACATAAAATTCCCCTTTTAAGTTAGTGATTCATAACTTCCTGCAATAAACTACTTAAGGAGCAGCTTTGGTAAAGAATGGAATGAAACAACCAACCAAAAAAAAAAAAAAGAACAATCACAGCTGATTTTGAAACCAACACAATTCACCAAATTTAGATTCAAAAGAAAATCTGCCAAGCTGTATTTTCTCAGTGTTTCCAAATATTTCACCTTCCTCCTCCTCCCTTTTCAGGTTTGTGCAGATGTGGGAGCTGCGTTCTGTCAAGCAGTTTGTCCTGCTAGATCACAGAAATCCATTTTCACATGATTCGTAGCCCTTGGATGGAGGACTCTAAAGTCTTGAAGGAGAGAGAAAACAAAATCATAATTACAATCTGCTGCTGTAGCTTGGGTTGAATAATTCAGTGTAAATGCTAAGAAAACCAAGTAAAAACTATGAATATTTGAAATTATACTGAGTCATAGAATCCCAGAATGGTTTGGGTTGGAAGAGACCTTAAAGATCATCTTGTTCCAGCCCCTGCCAGGCCAGGGACACCTTCCACTATCCCAAGCCCTGTCCAACCTGGCCTGGGACACTTCCAGGGATGCAGGGGCAGCCACAGATTCTCTGGGCACCCTGTGCCAGGGCCTCGCCATTCTCACAGGAAAGAATTTCTCCTGTGGAGAAATTAGGAAGATTTCTTCCTAAAGCAAGATCCAGAGACCACAACAGTAATTCCTTTCAAACTCAGGCATCTACAGGCCAATGATACAGATGTGAAACTGCACTAAAGCAGCTTAGAGATCATCTCCACTTCTTGTTTGACTCCTGTCCCCACCAGAGCACTCAGGCCCCACAGAACAGAGAATCTCTTCTTTCCCTAAATCAGATCCCATATCCATTTTGGGAAGACCAACAGGGCCCTCTGTTGGCCAGGCCTGAGCAAAGCAAGCACGGATATTAATACATCCTTTTAGGATTTTCAAGATTGTATTTTCCTACTGTTAGAGACAACTTCTTACTCCTTGAGGACAGGACCATGTTCTGCAACAGGACAATGAGCAGAGTCCCATGGGATGGGAGAAGGAAGAGGCAGGGGTTTTGCTGTACGAATTCTTCCAGCCCAGCTGTAGCTGAGGCTGGAGAGTGAAAGAATTAAGGGGATTCCTACAGAGACATTAAGTAATTCCATTAAAAAAATAAGTCTGTATTAGCACCATCTGCATTTATGCAGATTCTTGGATCCATTTTTTTATGGACTTCACTAAAGGTTTTGGATACTCCAGTCTGGATTTCCTGCTGCTACTACAACCTGGCTTGGGGCTGAGCCCCAGGAGTTGAGACTAGAGATAAAATAAAAAAACCCACCAGCCCAGCTAGTTGACATAAACATGGTAGTGAAAGCACATTTTTACCTTAAAATCCCAGATGGTCATTGCTCCATCGATGCCGGTGGTGCAGAATTTCCGACAATCCCGTTTGTCTATCTCATAAATAGACACTTGGCTGCAAACAGACAGTGAGAGCTCCAACACCCATTCCAGAGAGCCAGAAAACTGGGAAATTTGGGTTGAATTCTACTCCTACTCTTTCAGATGGAGACATGACTATAGTAGAGCCTACACTAGATTCTTGGTAGAATGCCTCAGAGAAATAAGCCAAGAAAAAGATGCTGAAAGTTCTTTAATGGTTTAGTGAGACTAAATGTTTTCCTTGAATAAAGAGAAATTGCTCAACATCCTCTGGGATCACATTTTTTTTTTTTTAATGTGAAGATATTTTACCCAATTAAATCGAATGAATCCTTTTGATTAACAGAATTGTGCAATGGTTTGGGGTGAAAGGGACCTTAAAGCTCACCCAGACCCACTCCCTGCTATAGGGAGGGACACTTTCCACTACCCCAGGTTGTTCCAACCTGACCTTGAAAGCTTCCAGGGATGGGGCAGCCACAGCTTCTCTGGGCAATCTGTGCCAGGGCCTCCTCACCCTCACAAGAGACAGATTTTTTTGCATGTTTAACCTAAATTTCCCCTCTTTCAGTCTGAAAACAATGATACATAATAGATAAATACACATGGCAGTAACATACTAAATAGGAAGCTGGGATGTGAATGTCAGGTAGACTTTGCTGACTGGATTTTGCACAGTGCCACCAGCCTCTTGGGAACCACCCACATATTTGATAAGATAAGCTGTGTCCAAGGTACACAACACATTAACCACGAACAAACAGCTGTAGCCATGTCAATGATTAACTTCACCAGCACATAAATCCCAGAAACAGAGAGCTGCTGGGGAAAGACTACAAGGAAAAAGAGACACCAGCTACACCAGCTACAGCAAACCTGAGTGTTTGCAGAGCAGCCTGGGAAACCCACTGGGCATGGAGAACATTCCCTGGCCTGCTCCTGGCAGCAGGACACTCACGTGATGCTGTTTTGGTGCAGTGTCTCCAGGGTGGTGTTACGATCTTCCGTGGTGGCTCTTTTATCCATGTTCCGGAAGCGCTCCATGGCAGAGATGTTGCGCTGGATGCTCTGTTTGGGAATGTCGAGTTTGGAAACGAAGCTCAGCAAGCCACGGTCGTCACAGTTGAAGAGCATGGGGCAGCAGTCGTGGCCCTGCAAGGAAAAACCCGTCAGGAAACACCACCTTAACATTCCCACCCTGCCCTTGGGAATGCCCAGCACTCCCAAGCACTGACACCAGGGCAGAGCTCGTTTATTATTATTATTATTATTATTATTATTACTAACTGTGCAAAATATGGGGTTTCCTCCCCCTCCAAAACACGACAAAGGAGGAAATAGCAGACACTTACAGCTGCCACCACGCTGTTCTCAGAGACAAAGGACACGCTCAGGAGTGGGAGGAACTCTGTTTTCAGCTGCGAAACCCTGAGCACAAGGACATTTGTTAGAGGGATTCACTGAAACCTCTCATTTTCGGCTCTAACAAAAAATAGGCACCGTTCCCACACAAGGATGGTTGGAAAAGTCAGGGTAGCTCGGCTGTCCTGTGGTGACAACAGAAGGTTGTAATTTGTAATGAAAAGTTACAGCCTAATGAAAGCGTGCTGGAAGATTTATAACAAAACTAAGTATTCCAGGTGAAAGGCTAATGTTACCAAAATTGTGTGTAAAAAGGGCCAAGAGTTTAAAAGGAATAACCCCAAAAATGTCTGCACTGATGAAGATATTAATTTCATTTGAATATAAAAAATACTTGAAGTTTTGCTGCTTGACATCTTTGCAGAGGAAAAAAGCCTTGATGTTCATTTAATTTAACTTTTTTTAAAATTCAACTTCTTCAATTTAATGATAAATAAAGAGAATTTTTAAACACTTTATAATGATCATATTCCCTGCCAGGTACTTGTACAACAGCAGTGATCAGAACCACAATTCAAAATGAATTCCAGCAATGCCTGGCTGACCCCAGAGACTTCTGTTACCAAAACATATGGAGAATCTCATCCTTCCTGGCTGGAATGCCAAGGACACTGCAAAGTTATGCAGATCAAGAGGAGGAGCAGTAAGAGCAACTGTTAGTAAAATATTTTGGATTGCAAGATACAAGTTGAAACCTTGCATCAACATCATCTTAAGGACAGAGGTTGGAATGAATATTTAATGAACAACTTATTTTCCAGATCCTGGTTGGGGATGGGATCTTAGTTAAGGAGTAAACATGTTTCTGGATTCTCTTTGAATTGGGAATATTTTGTATTGCAAATAATGTTTTGGAGAAGGAAATATTGGTTCCCTGGTGACTCAGTGGAACATACCTTTTTTTCCCAAATGTCTCCTTTTTCCCCAAAAATAAATTTTGGGGAAGAATCTTTAAATTCTTTGTAAGAATCCACTGAAGGATTCTTACAAAGAAGTTAAACTATATAATCTAAAATTCACAGAAACAACCTTATTTATAAAATATTTCTATTTACACAAGCCTCAAAGACACTCCTGGAATCCACAGTAAAACAGGCAACAGAGGCGCGAGCTTGTGAGCCCAACATCCCACACAGAATCACGGAATCATTAAGGTTGGAAAAGACCTTTCAGGACCATCAGGCTCATGATACCAGCACGGGGGGGGATACTCACATCATGTTTTTGGAGGCATCAGCCACTGACACAGTGCTGTCATGGCTGACCCAGGCCAGGCGGTTGCCACTGGCGGAGAAGCTCACGCTGTGCACCCACCCTCCGCTGCCCGCGCCCCCGAATTCTGACATCAGCTGCCCAAAAGGCATCTTGGAGCCCCAGGGAGTGCTGGCTGGCTTTTCATCCACTTCCTTAATGTAAGCAGAGAACACCCTGCAAATAAAAAGATTTTGGTGTGAACAAAGAGAGGACAAAGCTCCTGGGAGCATGGGATGCGTTTCATGTTGGAAGTGGGAAGATGTGTCCCGGTTCTCCCAAAATAAAATATTTTGGTGTCTGTAAACAAGCCTGGAAGCAGCAGCACGAAGGGTGCAAAGCACACAGGTTTGTCATAAAGGCTGTCCTTGTAGTCCTTTCCCTTTTTTCCAGAAGATGGCACAAAAATACACGTTGTCAGTGCATTTTTCCCTGTGCCAAGATTTCCCTTTCATCCTTTTGCGGTGCTAACAGCTCTCCTGAGTCGATCCTTCAGTTAGAGAAAACCCAGGAATGGCACTGTATAATTAGAAGCTAATACAAACACCTACAAAATTACCCACTTTTTAAGAACATTCCCATTTTAGCAGGATTTCAAAGAAAGAAATGTGATGTTCTAATGCCAGCAAAGGAGCTCTGAGCCACCTTCTTCCAGCTCATTATTGCAAAAATGCCTTGAAAACCTGAAATACTGCAATGTTTTTATAGGTTTTTTTTTTTCTCCCAGCACTAAAATTTTCAAGATATGTTTAAATAGAAAGCCTCCTCCTTTCATCAAATTCCTTCTGCATGATTCAGACATGCCACAATATGGTGTTCTTGACTGTTACCATGGAATTTAATGGGACGTCACAACCATAGGATTTGAGTCCATTGAACAGGAGGAGCAAGGCAGCTACACCATGCTACTACCAGAGGGGAAAAAAAAAAATCAGTATAAATGAAAAGCTATGATCAAATTTTCATGGTTGCAGTCACACACAAACAGGAATTATTTTATAGTGAGTTTAAGGAAATGTAGCTCCCCCTTCCCTGTTTTTTATATCTTTTGTGTTTGTGGGGTAAGCACTTCCAAAGGTACCTAAATTCAGCTTATTTTAATAAAGCTTCTCATTTGGAATGAGAAGGGTTTAACTGAAGCTATATTAGGTACAGATTTTCAGGGAATTAAGTATGGATATATATTTGGCTCTATCAGTTTAAATATAATCTAACGATAATCCTTTAAAAAACCAAATTTTATAGAGCCACCTAAAAGGATGGTCTCTTAATGTATGGAAGTAGGACAAGATTTTAAAAGCAACAGCCTTTGACACAAGGCAGGAAAATCATACCTAAGTAGGGAAGACCTTGAATTTAACTGTTAAAAATATAAGAAGTCTTTACCCTTATTAAAGTCTCCCTGTCTTTTAAAACTAAAATCACCTCAGCTTAAGGCCCCATCCTTCAAAGAATGTTGGGAAATGACTTTCATTCCTTCAGCAAGAACATAAAATTATACTTATGTGGTGCTTGTAGCTATAGATATATATATTTCAGATAAATATAAAGTGAGCTCATTTATCTTGGCCAAGCACCAAAAAACTCTGCTGAATATCCAGCAATTTGCAGCTCCTGCCCTCCATTCCTTCCCCAAAATGTTTCCCACTTAGCTGCTTATTACGTGGCAGTGGCTCTGGCAGATCTGTTTCCTCATTTCCATCAGAACAGGTGCACACTTCAGGTATCTTTATTTTTTTTAATATGGAACTGAAGGGAGAACTGGAATTCTAAAGATCTGTTCTCATCATTTATAAAGAGAATAGTTTTTTCACGGTTTTGGGGAAGAAACATCATCCTAGAATTCCAGAATGGTTTGGGTTGGACACACACACAAATTTCAAGTGACCTATGTCAAAGTCCTGAGATCCTTTATGAAACCAAATATTTAAAATTCTAAATGTGAAAAGTAGCTGCTTCTGTTTCACATCACCTGTTTTGTGACAGGAAGTGAATACATACAGTTTGTATAATTAAAACTGGAAATAAGGCATCAAAGGGGAGAGAAATCTCCCCTCTCTTTCCCAGCTTCCATTTAATATCTCTCCTTACATGAAAAGCTTTCAAAGGAGGGGGTTTAGATGCAAGGGTTTCATTCTGAAATAAGGAATGTAATAGTCAGTCCCACCTCCCCCTCCCACTCCTCCTTAGTCATTTTTAGTACACACTTTGAAGCTTTAAAATTGCCCTATTACATAAAGAATTTAAGAAAAGAAGCTTTCATTATCGTTCAAGGTACAAGTGATTAAGTCAATGTGGATTCAAGTCAGGCCCTGCAGACTCCCCTGCAGTGACCCCAATCACTCAGCACAGGGCAGTTTGCAGGGCCCATCCCTCACCCTGTAATTTCACAATCACTTGCAAAGTCTCCTTCATCCATCTCTCAGCCAATCTGAGTTTAACAGCCTTTTTTTTTTATTTTTTAATGGTCTTCAAAAAAATCCCTTCTATCTCCTCTAAAATCTCTTCTGTGTTGAGTTGCAGGTGGATCAATTCCTTGACTCTGCTCCCCACAGGCAAAGGGGAGGGAACAAGGAACTCAGGGAACAAAAAGATGGGACAACACCTTTGGAAATGGCCAGCTACTTTGAATTTTGGAACTGCATCATTAGGCTATTGCTTTTTAAACTCTAACTAGCAGTGTTGGTGTTCTACAAAATGACACCTGCCAATCCAACTTCAGCCTAATGACCAGCTCTGAGCCTAAATGCTGTGTAATGCTAGAAGGAACCTGCCAATTCCCCAAATTCAGCTGTGTCCCTCAGCACATCCAGGCTGGCTGTCCAAAGTCAGGACACAACAGCAACAAAGCCAACGTTTCTCAAGCTGGATATTTTACTTTGGTACCAACAACAGCACACAATGAGCCACCTTTTATTTTAATAGCAAGTGCAACTACCTGATCAACATGCTCAAGCTACTGATCTGATCCAGTAACCCAAACTAGATAAATGCTTTAGTTTCTCACCTGCACTTGAAGTCACAGGATCCTGCAGCCAGCAGGACATTGTTGGGGTGCCAGTCCAGGCTGAGGACAGTGGAACGAATGGGCTTTTTAATGTGTTTGCTCACCCACCTAAAATAAAACCAAACCAAAATAGGACATAAAATTTATATGAATATATTTTACTTGATTCCCACAAATCCATGAAGCACTCCTCAAAAAGATCACTCTTTGTCAATGACTAAACACATCAGTTTTGGAAAAAACTTCATGTCCAAGTCTTTCACATTCTCTTGTGCAATCTGTGAACCTTATGCTTAGCTTAATTAAACTTTCAAATATTACGAACATACTTATTAAATATGTACCTCCTCAGCTAAGTCCTATTTCCAGTCAAACTATTTTTTATAATGCATCAGATGGAAGTCGTTGATGTGAATTTTGCACAGGAATTGCCAGGTCTCTTCCCCCAGTGAACACGAGGTCAGCTGTGACTGTGACACTGAGCTAAGCAGCACTGTTTTCATGGATCACCAAGTACAAGTCCTCCAGTTCTTCCAAGTTTTATAGTCACATCTCTTGCCTATTGACTTTTCTACCGTTTAAAAATACAATAACTATAAAACACAACAAGAAAATGGGGGGATTGCCAATGACCCAACCAGTGCATTCATCTCAATTATGTGCAGTGCAAAGTGGTCCTGCTGCTGAATGCATCAATAGTGGCCTAAATATGTCTCAGCAGATTTGGTTTATCTGAAGTATTTACAAACTTGTAATGAAATCTATTATTCACTTGATGGCCTTTGGGATGATGGTGCTTTTTCTTTGATTTTGCTTCCATCAGGCACAAATTCTAAGGCTCACAATTTACAAATTATATTTCTTTAGCATATGGAGTCTTGATTCTTTTGCAGACAAATGAGGCAGAGAAAAAATATTGATAAGTGAACAGGCTGGAAGGCATAAAAGTCCAAAACAATCTTCAAAATGTATTTTGCAGATTGTGTCATTGTTTTTCATTTCCACATGGCAGACTGCACACAGGACACCTGTGTGTTTTTGTGCCTGCTTATGCAACCCAAAATAAGAGATACTCCACACACTGATTTCAGCTACAGATGATACAGCTAATGTACCTCCAACACATGCAGCTACAAAGGGAGAAGATCAGAAGCATTAAGCCTAAATGCTAAAATGAGAAAAATGTTAATGGTGCAAATATCTTTGTGATATTTCTATGTGAAATCTATAAACTGTGATACAAGTACATGACAAAATGCAGAACAGGTCGAGGAAAAGCTCAAACATCTTCTAACAGATCTGGAGATGTGACAGATTCAAACCTCTAATGACAAGAAACGACCCAAAATAAAGGACATGGAAGAAAGACTTGAGTGAAGATTTCTTCATTCATTCTGGCGTGAAGAGGGGGAAGGAAACATTTATCTTTTTTCAACCATATAGTTGTAGCAATGAAATCTTTACTCTACAGAAATTCTTGCACTTTTAGAAAAGCAACATATGTTTATGGCAGTCAGGCAGAACACATCCACGCCAACTTGTACTGCCTGAAAATAGGCAAAGTCAAAGGCCTTTAGATGCTACAGCAGAGTGAAGGAGAGAGAACCTTTTCCCCCAGATGCTGAAGTCCACAAAAAGAACTGATGAGGCCATCCCTCATCTCCTGAATATTTTAGGAATTCGTAAAACACTAACCCAGTTACCAGCACTAAAAAGCTTCAGCTTTCCCATGCAAACCTTAAAGCCACGAAAACAGCTCACCAGTCATTTTCAGACTCAAAGTAGCACACAGATATGAGTCGAGCTCCACTTCCCACAGCAAATTTGTTCTCCAAGGGAGACCACTTGACGAAGGTGGCAGCGCGGTTGATCCTGAGGATGACGAGGGTGGGTTTCCACACGCCGTCCTTCTGGCTCCACACGTAGGCGTTGCGGTCGGCGCCGCACGTCACGATGCGGTCGCTTTTGGGAGCCCAGTCAATACCTGCAAGTGAAGAGTTCACAAAAATTCGTTTTCCCCTCATGGTGTTTATAAGGTAAAACAGAGATCACCTCACAGCACTCTGTTACAGAATCCCAGAAAGGTTTGGGGTGGAAATGACCTTAGAGATCATCCAGTTCCAACTCTGTGCTAACTCCCATTCACTATCCCAGGCTGCTCCAAGCCCCATCCAACCTGGCCTTGGAGACTTCCAGGGATCCAGGGGCAGCCTCAGCTTTTCTAGGCAATCTAACCTAGGACCTCACCATCCTCACAAGGAACAATTTTGCCAAATATCTAACCTAAACTTCCCCTCTTTCAGTCTGAAGCCATTCCTCCTTGCCCTGTCACTGCAGTTCCTGACCAACTGATCACTCAGGCAGTTATTAGTCTTATGTCATTCACCTTCATCTCATTCTCCAGGAGCTATTTCAAGCTGTTAGGGATACTTGTTTCTCCCTCTAGCTTTCACCAAAACTGCAGATCTCAAATTCCCAGATCCCAGGGATTTGCTGGCTGAGGAAGCTCCGAGGGCTGGCCAACAGGTGGAGCTCTGCAGACCGGCCAAGGCCTGTCCACCAGCACCCTCCAAACCTCGGACTTCTGCAAGATCCCCCTCAACAGCTGAAACTCAGCAATTCTAAAACTGCACAACCTCTAACAACATTTTGTGCTTGCTGCCAGACTGCAGCCATGATCTAAAGTTTAGATAACAGGGCTTTTTGGTTAGACACTATCAATCTTTATGTATTGACACAATCCTTACATTTTTTCCATGCCTATTTAAGCTGAGCCACAAGAAAAATTTACCAACAAAAAACCCCAAAAAAATAACTCAAAGAATAAAATAAAACCTTTGATAAGGCTGCCATTGCTTCTTTCCCCTCCTAGACAATGAAGGATGTTCCCAACTGGAAAGTGTTATGGGAATATTATTTTTCATCTTTTCTGTAGCAGCCTTTGGGACACAGTCCTCAACTCTCCATTATTACATTCAGTATTAAAAACATCTCTTAAGCTCACAGACTGAAAGTGGGATAAAAGCTGTGGAAAGAATTTGTACTAACGTTACCATATTATTCATATATTGTTTACTTCAAAATAGATTTATGCTTAAAATGTGAAGAGCTTGGTAGTCAGAAATTACAGTTACAGGAGCTCTAGCACTGCCTTTGAAAGAGAGGCCATCCTGCCTCTCTTTCCTTCTCCTGCCCACCACCTCCTCTCACCAGCCCTGGTGCTGTTCTGAATTATGCCAAGTTCAGATTTTTATCTTAGTAGAAAACTAAGCCAAGAGAATGAAGAAAGCTCTTCCTGTGAGTGAGTAGAGGCAGCTCACCACAAACCTGGGTCAGAGAAGGACCTTGTCCCCTGTGATCAGGAGCTGGAGTGGCAGCAGCAGACTCACTCCTGTCAGGGTTACAAGCAGTTTGATCAGTGGATCTCCTGTGTGTAACCACAGCTTAACTCCACTCTTTACAATCACCACAGCACTTTGTATTCCAAAGGTACACACCGTGCAGGAAAGCAGGGAGAGCTCTTTTCCCAAGTCATGAATATTTGGCTTCTAACACTTCCAGGTACAAGTAAAATGTCCTGTGGGGGACACAGCTCATTTGGAAATGCAGCTCAAGTGATTCTTCACAAAGAAGCAGGGACTGTTGTACTCTTGGACAGCAAGAATTGGAAAAATTGAATAAAGTTCCTACAAAATGCTTTTGGACAAATACTTCTGCCCATTAGTGAGCTGAGAACAGAATTTGCTGCTTTGGGCAAGTGCTTGTATAAATTATATTCATTTCCTTAAGAGACTAAAGCCCTTTTAAAAACATCACCATGGAAAAAAACCCCAGTAATATAAAAGACTGCCACAGGATAATCACATTTTTTAAAATAACACCTTGTGACTCAACGTGGCAGCTCTTCTTAATTTTCATTGTGGATGTACAGATACTCTGGGCCTGAAATAAATGTGCTCACTGATGGTCTAAGTCCAGGACTGACCACTTCAAATGTTTATACAGTCCCTAAAAAAGGGTATTTATTGTTGTTGGAAACCACAAAGCAATGCTACAGTCGTATACTTGATGAAATTTTAGTACTAGCACTTGAAAGGGAGCAGCATGCATCACTGTGACACAACCAGATTACTTCAGCAGACTGAGAATGTGTTCTCATTATGTCATTAGGGATGAAAAATAAGCCATAGATAAGAACAAATGGCTCAGTAACTCCACTGAAATGTCTGGAAATGAGATAGAGCTTTTCTTCCTAACATTCACTGCATGCAGTTCAGAAAAGTGCTGCAAGGCTCTCTCTGAGTGGGAATGCCAACCTATAAAAAGATCTATTTACTCAACACTTGCAGATTTCCTGCTCAGAATCTCAACTGAGGAAAACAGGAGGGGCTGGAAAACTTCATGTCTGGCTCAGCCCAAACTCACCTGTAATGTGTCCATTGTGTTCCTTCAGCTCATGAGCCTTCACCCACTGGTTCCCACTCTTCTTGTAGATGTGCACTTCATGGTTATTAGGGCTAATGGCAATCTCTTGAAAGAAAAATAAAACAATCCAATTGTACAGAAGGCTTTTTAATAGCAAATGCTATATTTGGAAAGACTTTTCCAATCTAAAACCTCTATTCACAAATTTGAGAGCATTACATAGGTTTTGTAAACAAAGGGCCAAAATCCCTGGAAAATCTCCAATAATTATGGACAGAGAATCATGGAATGGTTTGGGTTGGAGGCATCTTAAAGATCATCCAGTTCCAATCCCCTGCCATGAGCAGGGACACCTTCCACTATCCCAGGTTGCTCCAAGTCCCAGTGTCCAACCTGGCCTTGGGCACTTCCAGGGATCCAGGGGCCTCCCCAGCCTCACAGGGAAGAATTTCTTCCCAAAATCCCATCTAACCCTGCCCTCTGGCAGTTTGATATCTGTATCCATACCATGGTCATGAGAACTCTGCACAGGAAGACAACACATTTGGAACACAACAATCCACATTACATAGAAAACTTGGCCAAGAGGCAAAGCTTTGTGGAACTCCAGGAAGACTCAATTACCTTCTGTGCCAGAGTTCCAGCAACAGGTTTAGAAAAGCTCAGATTTGGAAGACATGTGTTTTTTGGATCACAAGTAGAACATTTAACAGGTGGAACTATTTATCTGATCACCCCTTCCCTAAATGTGACCAAGAACATCATAAGATCAAAAACTGACAGCAGAAAGAAATCAGCAATTGAAAAAAAAAAAAAAAAAAGAAATGAAAAATGGAAATGAATTTATTACTTACGAGTACGGTCTCTGTTCCAGGCATGGCAGGTGATTGGCTCCAGCAGGAACTGGTGCAGAGACATTCCGAGTTACACAGATTCCTAGGTTGTAAAAAGTGAAAAGGCTGAATGAAAGGTGTAAAACTGAAAACAAAACGCTTCAAAATGAGAGAATTAATAAAACAAAGTTAACCTTCAACATTTACCGAGCATCTTTCAGTGCAGTGTTTCAATTTATTTACAGATCACAACTTAATAAATGGAATTAATAAATATAAGGCTGCTCAAGAGCTGCCTGTGTCACACCCCCAGATATTTTCAGTAGATGATGGATTTTCATTGTTCTGCTCATGTTAGCCAATTGCAATTGCCCTAAAAGCCAGATACACTTGTTTCTTTGTGTATCATCATGGACAAGAGAGCAGGTCCTCAAGAAATCCAATAAACTTATTAATTTTATTATGGAAATAGAGTAATTTAAAAAAATAAATATCTAGGACAAAGCTCAGTGAACTGATTCTAAAGCTTGACTTGTATCCAGGCTCACAGGCAGCACTGTAACAAAATATTTTTCTCTGGAAGCCAAACTGATGTGTAACTGTGATCTGCTGATATATTATTTCATAAAACCATTTATATGTATCCTAGGGAAAAAATTACTAAAATTAATAATTAACTAATTAGTAATTTCTTCCAATTAATTCCAGCATTGAACCGTTTGATAATCAGGCTTCTGCACCACGAAACTCAAACACTAAACCAAGCAGAATCATTTTAGTTTGTGAGTATTTTGTTTAAAAAAGGCAAAATACCTACTTTTGAAACTTAAGCCTGTTACAAGAGATAGTGCTGAAAATCTGCAATTTGGAGGCAAATCCATCTGCAGACCCAAGATTGTTTAAAATGTTTTTATTATATTATCTCCCATCCATTTATGCTGCCTTTGGTTAATACAAGACATGGAATAGTATATTTTTGAAATTAAGATATTTTAGACATTGAATTATTTTAGATATCAAAATATTTTAAGTATGAAAATATAGTATTCTATGTGCTGTATTAACCAGGGCAGAATAAATGGATGGAAGGTAACACCATAAAAACTCAAGGTCACCTGTAATAATAAAAATGTGCACAGTTCAACACATCCAACTGAGATTTGTCAGTTCCTTTTGTATATTCCACTAATTTCCACAGCAATTTATCACTGCCTGATGGATCAAAGCATTTTTACCCCCACATATCCATATTAAAAGAACTATCTCCGTGATGTCATTCCAAGACATCCACACCCATTAGAGCCTGGAATTACAACATACCCAAGTATGGCCATGTTAGCAGAGGGTGGAGACTTCAGGACAAGGTAGGAATTTGGAAGCAAACAGGAAATGAATGGCAATCCAACAGAAACTTAGGAGTGAAAGAAGGATGAGTATGTTCTCACAGAGCCTCAGGAATTACTATCACACCATCAGTTTAACAAATACCTTGAAAGTGCTGAATCTTGGAGCAGAGGTGAGAGAGTATTTCATCAATGCAAGTAACTGGAGAGACCTTTTATTTTATTTAGTTTTTTGTTTAAGGAAATAGAGCACTGTTATTCTAAAAATATGCAAATTATGGGTGCATTTTTCAAATGTACTTGAAATACAATTTTTAACAATACGACCTTTTAGTCCAGCTCACAATTTTAACCAGCATGAATTTCACGGTTCTTATAATAATCACATTGTACCAACCAAATGCAGTACTAAATACACACAGTCCTAGGCAAAATAATTATTTTTTGTTAATGTGAAAATGTTGCCATAATCTGGGTTACCTCTGCCCTTGGACATGCATCATTTGAGATCCCACGTGTGAATATAAGCAAAACACAAGTGCAAAGTGCTTTTTCCAGGATCTTGCTTTAGCTCCTGCCAACATTCAGTAGCAGCACATTTCCATATACAGAAAAAGTTCAAGAGCTGTTCCACCAACAAGGAATGCTCAGCCTTTGCTACTCTTTCCGAAATAAAATGTAAAAATATCCAGTCTCCTCTCCCCAAGGAATGCAGCTATTTTGAAATACTTTCTAATACAACTGTAGTATTTTATTCAGAGATTGGCATTACATATAAAATATGGTCCCACCCTACCTCCTAGTTCAGCTACTTTTACTTTGCTGTTTCCAATTCCAACCCAAAGTTGTATAGTCCATTCCTTCCCATTGATTGATTTACTTGAGCTCCATAACTGGCTACAAGTGACTTTTTTTTCTTTAGTTACAAACCCATAGAACACAACAATGATGATAACCTCAAAAAGCAGTGCTATTTCTGTCTCCTGATAGGTACAGTGATATTTTCTTTGGGAAGACAAATTTTAAAGAAGTTTTCCAGTTATATTTATTCCTTACTAATACACAGACAAAATCCAACTCATACTTCACTAGGGAAAATTGCTGCTGGCTTTATGATTTTGACAAATTAATAACCTCAGTGCCTTCCTGTCATCCAACCTCAGAATCTCACATGGGGAAGATACTGCTATGACTTTGTTATCAAGTACTTAATGCAGCTCTTCCTGAGATTTATTTCAAATTGAAAACAACTGACTTTGAGTTTCAATAAAGTATTTTAAAATGGAGAAAAAAAAGGGAAATATTGCACCTTTCCAGAGCAGTTGTTTCAGTACAAGGCCTGAAAGGATCGAGGTTGGGATGAACAGGACTCAGCTGCTGTCACCTCTCAGCGGGGTGAGAAATATGTGGTGAAAACCCATCCCTGGACAACCAGCCGGGACACAGACTCAGAAGTGAAGACTGAATGTGTGACAGCGAGAAAAGGATCTTTTTAATCCTTGCCTATTCTCGGAACACCTACACCACTTGCAAACACCTGGAAGCGAAGCACCTGCGATGAAGGAAGGACAGCCTCCCACACTGTCACTGCCTCCCGAGTCACTCAGCGCGGATTTCCCAGGGGGGAGGCTCCCCTCGGGCACCTCCTGCCACAAGGCACCGTTAGCAGGAAAAATCCTCGGGATGGGCACGGATTGATGGACCGTGGGCTGCGGCCCTGCCAACACAGGGGCACGGCCGTGAGGGGCACAGCGGGGGAAATGGAGGTGTACAGCGGGGGAAATGGGGAGCAGCCCCACAACCACGCCTCTCCCGGCCCCTCAGGGCGAAGGAGCGAGAGGCGCCCATCGCCTCACCCTCAGCAGGGCGTCCCCAGCCCCTCGGGGCAGCGATGCTGCGCTGCCTCCCCCCCGCCTTCCCCTCACACCGGCGGGCCCGCAGGCTCTCCCCCACCCACGCCGCCCATCGCTGCCGTGGCCGGGACTCACCTGAGGCGGCGGGGGCGGAGCGGGACTCGCGGACTCTGGGCAGTCAACGCGACTCCGCTCCGGCGGCGGCAGAGGCCGAGCGGGCCCGGCTCGGACACGGGCGGCAGGAAACGCGCACGGCGCCTGCGCCGCCGCCCGACCCACACAAAGGGCGGAGCTGCGCATGCGCGGCCCCTCAGGGCGGGGCGGCGCCGGCTGCGAGTGCGGGAGCTGAGGAGGTGAGGAAAGGCCTTTAAGGTCATAAAATCCCATTGTTAATGCACCCCCTGTGCCGCTCCGATCCCTCAGCCACATCGCCCGAGCGCCTTTTGAAGGCCTTCTGTGGTGAATCCACCACTTACCTGCAGCTGTTCCAATGTTTGACCACCCAAACAGTGAAAAAAAAAAAAATTACAGCATCTGACCTGGCTCTCCAGTGCCTCAAGGCCGTTTCCTTCAGTCCTCTCACTGCAGGCACGGTGGAAGAGGCTGGATCCCACTCAGATCTGCTGCTGTAGTCAGCCTGGAGAACAAAGGAAGAAAACCTGGGGAAAAGGAAAGTATTTCCACCTGCCCGGTTGTTTCTCTGAGGAGAAAGAAACAAAGGTGTGCTTATTGATTGTTCCTTTAGATGATTCCCAAAATACAGGGGTGCCACAGTGCTGGACACGTACATGAGATTGGGGTCCCAAACAGTAACACTATAACCCGTCCTACAGAATACATCACAGAGAATTTGTACTGCAATGATATAATAGAGACAAAATGCCACAAAAATGAGAGCAAATAAATCCACACTGAGTCTCCTTGAGACAAACCAAACCCAGTTCCCTCAGCCATGGCTCATAAGGTTTCCTAGACCTTTCATGAGCCTTTTGCCCTCCTCTGGACAGACTCCAACACCTCAATGTCCTTTTTGAAATGAGAGACCCAAAACTGAGCACAGCACTCAAGGTGTGGCATCACCAATGCTGGTACAGGGGGACGATCACTGCCCTGGTCCTGCTGGCCACAGTGTCCCTGCTGCAGGGAAATCTGTCACTGGAGGGGACAGGGCTGCTCTGGAGCCAGGCTGGGTGAGCTGGGAGTGTTCAGCCTGGAGAAGAGAAGATCCTGGGAGACTTAGAGCCTCTTCCAGTGCATAAAGGGACTCCAGGAGAGCTGGAGAGGGACTTTGAACAAGGGATGGAGGGACAGGACAAGGGGGAATGGCTTCAAACTGGAAGAGGGCAAGGTTAGATGGGATACTGGGGAGAAATTCTTCCCTGTGAGGGTGGGGAGGCCCTGGTGCAGGCTTCCCAGAGAAGCTGTGGCATCCCTGGAAGTGTCCAAGGCCAGGTTGGACAGGGCTTGGAGCAACCTGGGGTAGTGGAAGGTGTCCCTGCCATGGCAGAGGGGTTGGAACTGGATGATCTTTATGATGCCTTCCAACCAAAACCATTCTGTGATTCTATGATTGAGAATTGGAATATCAAAATAAGTTCATGAGCAATAATTTACCCTACTCTTAATCCTGTCGGGGAATTGCCTCCTCTTTGGGGTCTCATGGTTTGTTTCCTTCAAACTTGTGAGATTTTATACAACAATAAACAAAAGAGTCTGAGAGAATGGGGAGAGATAAGCGACTCCTTGATATACCGAGGAGAAATAGAGTAGTGAGTTTAATTTCAAGTCTGAGAGAAAATAAACAATTTATAAGCATCTCAAAGGAAAAAAAGAAGGTGAATGCTGGCCAGTATGGCTTTGTCAGGAATGAATTGAGCCAATCTAATTTCCTCTTCTGGCAGCATAACAAGGATTGCAGATAATGGTGAAGCAATGTATGTCATATATCTTGATTTTTAGTAGAGTTTCTGACACTGGCTTGCAGGATATTCTAATAATAAACTGGGAAACCAGTCTAGATGATACTGCTCTAAAGGAGTTGCAAAACTGGTTGAGGGAAGAAGTTCTTATTATCAGTGCTTGTACAGGGAATTACCTGTGCATTACTCATCTGTGATGCAATAATGCAATTACTGCATCTGAAGCTGAGATCAAGTTCAGAATAAGCACAGTGGCAGAACCAGGATTCAAAATGGGAACTCTGTGGTAAAAATGGGATGTGGTTGAGCAGCAGGTGCACTGCTGTTCACTTCAACACCACCAGCTGCAGATTTACACCACTGGGAATAGGGCAGGTGGCTGTGCTGCAGGGGGGGGTGGAGGGTCAAAAGCTGAAGAGGAACAAAAAATATCTTTTTGCAGATGAGGTAAACACCACACAGGCCCCATGCGGGTAAGAAAATTCAAGTAACACACGCAGAGGAATCCTGCTCTGCTGAGCTGCTTTAGAAGAGCATTAAAGTCCTGTGCACCAGAGAAAAGTGGATGATTAGGACAAAAGGGTGGCAATAATGATCAGGGTCTGTGAACACATAACTTTGGCTGAGCCTGTTGAGAGCACAGAAAACTGAGGGAAGATGTGCTTAGTCTTTGAATAGATGAAAGGCTGCTGCTCTGAGGAAAGGAACAATTTGTTCTCTGTGTCCACAGGGTAGGGTGAGAAGTCATAAGCTGAGATAACAACAAGGCAGATCTGGGTAAAAAATTGCCAGTGACTACTTTGAAGTAGTGAAGCCTTGTGTTAGGAACTGATTTGACAGGATGTAGGGCTGCTCTGAGAAGTTTTTCAGAATGGATCCGAAATATTTGTCAGGATGGCAAAAGTGCAATACAAGGTCTTGTGTTCAGGAAGGAGGTGAGATGGCTTCTGTCAGTGGTCCTGTGGCTCTGTGCCTGTGTCATCAGTGCAGCCCTTACTGGTTTCACAACGAAACTGCCTCAACTGCAGGGATTAAAGACACACAACTAGGCCGAATAGAGTTATGTAACAGCAACAAAATTACATTTTAAGTACGGTTTTATGTTTACAAAATGACTTTCACCAGATGGAGGGAGAGCATCTAAATGAGGAGCTCTGCAGAGATTTTAAGCATTAAAAGCTAAGACCCTGTCTCCAATGAAGCCTCCCCAAGAATTTTCCACCACTGCTTCTGCTGTAGTGCTGATACAATTGCACTGTGCTAATCCAGGAATGAGGACGATGTTTTGGAGATTAAAGCCTCACAGGCAAGGCTGAACTGATTTTAGTGAAAGTGGTTTAGATGCAATCTGACCTTAAGGTATATATGAAAAAAAGATTTAAGCTGGGACATCTTCATTCAGCTTCAGGGTAGCAGCTAGTCAAAAAGAGATCTTCTGGAAGCAGGCTGTTAGATACACAAACAGGTAATTGGGGATGGAAAGTCATGCTTTGAGTGTATTCTAGGTGTGCATTGCCACAGGAGCTGGTTTTGCCTCTCAGCTCATTTGAATTTGCTCTTTCTGTGCTCTCTATCCTCCTGCTGCAATGCCTTACATCTTGAGTTTGAGCAGAATACAATGTTCTGCTTTCTCACTGTGAAAAATACAAGTTTTTCCCCATACAATAAACCTTAATTAGACTATGAATAAAGGCTGTTGATGAGAGGAATTATTTGCATGACCTGGATCCTTGACTTGAAAAATCTTCAATCTGTTAGCACAGATCCTTCACATAGTGTTGGATGTGTTCCATCCTTCCAGATATACCAGGGATGTATTATTTGCAAGGTTTTGAGTCTAACACACAGATAATTCCTTTGTCTGCAGATTCTTTCACTTCTTCTGTCGTCTATTCTATTATTTTATTTTAAGAAAAGGTTTAGCCCTTACTGTGCATCCGTTTGGGGAGTAGAAGGATCCTGCTTCTTTTCCCTTTCTGTTTTGCCATTAGTGAAAACATCTGTACCATCCATTAGCTGTTCCAGGAGTACCTCTGTGCCCAAAGAGACTTGTGGAATATCTGTGTTCCCTTTTGCAGGGAACTGCATGAGTCAGCTGCTGTTGAGAACACACCTTTGTTTTCCTCATCTCCATCCCACACCCTTTTCTGCTCTAATAAATTCATGGCAGGTGGATTCAAACACTCAAGCTCCAGCTTCCCTGAGCCACTGGCACAGAGGAAGAGAATTGAAGCCTTGGATAACCTCCCCAGGAAACAAAGCCTGAGACACAGTGCGTGGTGTGCAGTTTGTTCAGAGCCAATGCAGCCATCTCATCTCTCTCCCCCCACATCTTCCACTTTGTGTATAGACTTCCTTTAATTGGCCAGGCTCTGTTCCTGTACCAGAAATTGTTTGATTTAGCAAGAGAGATCTTTGCACTGGGAGAGGTTGACCTGGAATATGTCTGATATTTGTGCACAGTGACATCAAGGTGAGGAGAATGTGCATGACCCTGAAGAGTGGTAGTTAATAAGTATTTTATAAACTGTGTGTTCATGTCTGTGCACACATCAGAGACTATGCTTGAGAGCAGGAAGTGGCTGCAGAGAAGGCAGAGGAGAGCAATCCTTTGTGGAGAGTGATGCACACATTCCAGGGACTGTCTCAGATGGTGCATCCAAGTCTACAAAGGCCCAATGTCTAGGGATGCTGTCAGTATGAATGGAATGTGTGCTTCCTGCAGAGCGTGTCTGGAGAGGGAAAGTGTCCCTGGTGTGCACCAGGTGCCATTGTGTGATCACAGAACACATCAAGCTGGAAGGGACCTGTAAGAATCATCCCATCAAACTCCCAAGTGATAAAACAGTGAGCTACAGCCTCCTCATTTACAGTTTATTCTGCATCTATCCCATCTGGTTGGTTTTACAGCCATTTTTTGTGGAAGACCAACTCCTTTAGAGACCTCTTGTTGTTGTGCAGAGTTCTCAGTCTGCACACAGTGTTTCTCTTTGGTGTCTGGCTGTTTCCAGCTCCTTCATCTGAAGAGGAGGAGAAGCACAATTGATGTGCCATTTTGAGGGTCAGAAACAGGACAATGGTGCCTACCCCAGGAATTTGAAGTTATTTGTGGTCTAGAGTTTTGTTGCAGCTGAAAAATTAAAGTCATGCTGCTGATGACAGCACACCTTCCAATTTCTCCTTTGTGGGTGTAGATCAGCTGCTGAGACCAGTGGCTTGTTACTGCTGCATTCAGGCACCATAAAGATTCTGATGGATGAGTTCTGCATGGGGTGCAAAGTGCTGAAATTCCCTTGTGCTCCAGTGAGTTCAGAGTATCCCACATGCAGCTTTTCTG